TGGCAGCTGAGCTGGTTGATTCTAGCCAGCCTGTCGTTTGTGTCACTTATCGGCCCAAAAAGGACCCAACCGAGTGGTGTTCGATTAGCGTAAGGCTCGTGTGGCCTGCCCGTTCGGCTTTCCAGCACCCAATGCGCCATCGGTACATCCATCCCGATCAAGAGGGATATTGGTTGGCTTCCGGCAGTCTCGTTCGGATCGTTAACGTCATATCATTTGGTGCGAATGGGCAACTCTGAAATGTGGATAACCTTCGTTGTGTTCGTAATAGCCTGCGTTATTGTCCCCTGAGTAAACTTCAGAGAGCACTGTGTCAATTTAGACAGCCACATACCATGCAACCGCGTAGCCGCAGGAGTCATGGATTCACGGATTGATACACAGGATCGCCGCTTTTGACCAAGTTACCCGGGTCGGTTTTGTTTTAGTCGTTCAGTGACTGTCGTTCACCTGAAATGCTTAATTGAAAAAAGGGGCTGAGTTTAGGTTTGAGTACATTTTCCACGCGGACCAAAAAACATCGATGCTGGAGATAATGTGTATTAAGTTTACCCCGGGGTCTATGTTATACGTCCCCCTGATGACGCTGAAAATTGCTTTTGCAGCATTGATGACAGCATCATAAATTTTGCGCAGAAATATTTTAGAGACGTTGCCGTTTTATGAAACATGGGCTGCGTTGTGTAATTACTGAGGTTTATCTTACAACCGTAGCCATTTTTATGCTCGATGGTTTCACCAATCCCGCCGGCACTGTCTGACGGTGTTTAATAGTTTTTCATACATTCTGTACATCCACGCCTTCCATCGCTGCTACCTGAGTATGTGATGATACTGCTGTTATTCTTACTGCATATGCTTTCTCGGTGCACTGTACACCAGCTAAAAGATACTGAATATTCTGTTGCAATAATTTACTCATTGCTTTATGGTGGCTATTGGTCTCCAATCACGATGGGTTTTCTACACATCTGACTGATGACCCTATATTGTATTGAGAATTATTTTTAGGATGCAAATACCCGGTAGTTTCTCCGCAATGAGAAACTGGATGCCGTTTGAATTTCTATCTACTCTCTTAGCAAATAAATCAGCCGTTCAAGTTTGCGACGATTACTTTCGCTGAAGTTACTTATAGCGCAGCGATTTCTAGTCAGGACAATTCTACAGTAAACACCATTTTTAACCAGGGGGTGGTAACCTGTGCAAAGCACTTCAGCGGTGAGCCGTGTTGCACTGAGTTGAGAATACTGGTCAGCTTCGTGCTGGCGCTTGCACGTGTTTCAATAGTTTCAGTTCATTATGCTGTGCACTGAAAGCTTATTCGAATGCGCAGCTCAGCTAGTGCAACCACAAAGAGGAGGAAGAATGCTGTGAAACTCAGCACGGAAATCACCAACGCTTTTGCGGGAAACCCTAGTGAAATTGCCCTAATCCAGAGCAATTGATCCATTGTTTCTTGTTCAAGTACACAAAACTAGCAAAGAGAAATTCAGTACAGATAAAGTTGAGTGCTTGACAAGTAAAGACAAACAGATATTGTCGGCCGGTACTCTCGTACTTTACCGAATAACCTAAAATAATGGAATTTCTCCGCGTACACTTACGAGTTTTATTTCACCGGCACAACAAACAAAGCAAAAAGAGGCAATCACTAAATGAACACATCGAACGACAGACTACCAGCTTGAAACTAGCAGATCTTAGACAGACCGAAGTAATCCGAAAGGATGAAAATCAACGGTCATCAGGACGTACATCAAACACAACTATGTACTCATGCCTCAAACCAGAAACATAATCCAGACATTTATTTGGAAGCCTCCAAGTTAATAAGACCCCTAGCGCAAGCGCATTTCTGCTAAAAGCCTATCGACGAAAAATGTTGACACACCAAATTACGACGCACCGAAAAGTTCACCTCCAACGTTGACAAGGTGATAAGCGGACCCCGTGTTAACACGTGCTTATGAGTCGGATAGAATGCTGCCTGAAAATGAGCAGTTCTCTGTATAGTACTCTCTGATTCGCACAACCATAAATTTGATTTATTTCTCACATTCAACACAACCCACGTGTCAAATTATTATCTAAGCGTCAAAAACAGTCCATGATGAGTGCGAGTCTGTGGGGCTGGTAGGGATATAGGTCAGTATAGCAACAACCGTTCAAAACGGCTGATCCGGTCAATGCAAGATGGAACGTGATCGAAGCCTATTGCGTGCAAAATATTGGAAAGTGTCCAAACTTACCGAGTTGTTTCAGTGCTGAGCCTGCTCGGTAGCTTCAGGTGATGACACAAAGCCTCAGGCAGGATGGTAGTCGGAAGTCGTCGAAAAAGATCTTGGAATCGAAAAAAACATGTCACCACCGTGTACATTGGACAGTAGAAATATATTTCTCGAAAATGGACAGTGTTTACGTGGGGCGAAAGCTTGAACTGCGATGAGGTCCAAAAAGTGATTCCCCAGCTTTTTGATAGATCATAATCTACACGATGCGCAAGGGCGTAGCTACATTGTAATCTCAACACCCATGGTAAGTACAGAGACAGAAAATCCACAGTCGATACAAACCGGAAGAGTTGACCACCTGAGGCTTTTCATAGTCGTATGTTGTGACAATCTGAAAGAATCTTCATTATCGAGCTTTGATCAACTGACGGTCACAAAATGCCCGAATGGAGCCAGTATTTGTAATGCTTTCCTCGAATAGGTTTGCGTAAACGAACGATGGCGAGAGCGGTGTCGTTTGCTTGAAATAGTAGTTAATAACATCAATAACAATGCTTATTTCGAAAATGTGGGCGGCATACCGTCAGAATGAAACATGACTGTGGGATTTGTAGGGGTGCGGATTGCGCAAAAATAAAGGAAAATATCATAAACAGTGGGGACCATCCCCAATGGGCATGAGGTTCGACTGATTCAAAGACAGAGCTAACTGGCATCAACTAAGGCTTAAAACCATTTCTGGCCATGAGTGACCTCGGGAGGTTTGGTAAATGGCCGGAATCAGAACGAGCAAAAGTTAGGATGGAGATGGAATAATTCAAATTGGGAGCACATGGCGAGTTTTGTTTCAAAACTGTGGTTTAATCTGAAAGTAAACAGACTCACTGGTTGCACTGTTATAGGGAAGTCAGTTGCAGTGGATAGGTTGGATGGGGCAAGGTGCTAATACTCAGGGCGACTCGTACACCGTATACGGATTTGAACTCTTGGAAGAGGCAAGCCGAAATTGCCACAGAAAAACTAGGCTGGTCAAATTTGAGCGAAAATTCATCGGGTACGAAAAAGCTCGTCCAAGAGACGGGACCCTATGAAAAATTTGCTCGTAGTTGTGACTACAGGCTTGAGTATGAGGGGTGTTGCGGTCGAGATTATGGTTAAAATAGCTGCGGGAACGCCATGTCACTGGATATGAGAGTGCCGTGTTACCATTGCACTGACATGCTTCGGTTTATGGACAGTCCCGTAACGGTCGTCAAGGGTGTCGCGATCGGAGAAGGGATACGTAGTTCCGTGGCAGCTGGTTCTGGGTGAGACGGGGATTGACAAAGAGAGTCACGTGGATCCGGGCTCATGGATAATTTTCTTTTCGTCGGAGGACCGTGTGAGTATAGACCGGGCAACTGCAGGCGACGTGTGAAGCTTGGGAAAAGTGCAACGAGAAAGAAATAGAATGAAACAGTAGTGGGTGGTGAGTGTCAGGAGGCATAAGGTACAACGATGTCAATAGAAAAAGATCTGAAAGGAGACGACAGCAAGCTAAATGGACCCAAGAAAGGTGAATACGCTTGCTGATCCTGAAGCCAAGTACTTGATGAGTCTGAGTAGGTGACTAGTTATAGGAAGAGAACTTTTTCGTCGACGTAGCTAACAGGAGGCTTGCTGCTGGACTAGTTGAGAACGGGCGGTAGTTTTGGCTCACCAAGACATCATGACATAGGGTTCTCGTTGTGCGGAAAGGGGGGTTAATGTTTGAAGTGACAATAGACAAGTAAAAAGCGGACAAGCAACAGCTTCCCAGATAACCGATAAGAATCGTAGCTTAACTGGGGTCTACTACGTCAAAATAACAGGATAGTAAGAGTAAGGATCACCAATCACCGAGTCACTGCTAGCAACTCCAGAAAACGAATGGCGCATGGCAAAAACAGCCATTAAGTGCTAGTTGTGACTGCTTTTATTCGTGAGATGATAGGTCATTTTTATTTTGTGCATTATATCGCTCTAGATGAAAGGGAAGAACGTTTGTGCTATTTTTGGATGATTAAATGAACTTTGGGTGGTGTGGCTCAACTGAGGCGAAAGTGACAACTCCTTGCACGCCGAAGTTAGCCATGAGCATCACACAGTACCCTCAAGCTACCCCATGCATAGATGTTTTTTTAAATTTTTTTAGAACGAACGGTTGGACAGCTGTCTTTCGCTTGTTTTTCTTGACGTTATGAAGCAAGTGACCACCTGGAAAAGGCCAATCCAGGTGCACAAAAACAGTAACTGGTCTATTTTTCGGTTATCCTGATTTAGGGGCCAGGCTCAGAACCACTGGCGATGGCCGATACACCCGTGCTACTATGGCGGTGGCGAGTATACGAACGCACCATGGTGCAACGTTACATGGCAACCCTCACTGCAGGGCGTACCCGTCCAATACACAAGGTTTTCATCCCTGGTGCATGCTACCAGATATACAGGGTGACAAGCCACCAAGCAGTCAGGATTGCGGTTTGCGCACTAATAAGTAACTCCAGCTAACGGACATTTTACCCGGTCAACGGGAGGGGGAAGCCAGGCCAGTAAAACAGATCAGACATTTCGAACAAGCAAACAGAGAACAGCCGCTGGAAGAGGCAAGTCGTGGAAGGAAATGAAACATCAACTACCTTGTAGGCTGTGGGGATGGAATGAAGCTGTTCAGAGCCTGTGCACTATGGCTAAACGAAGACGAAGCATTGGTGTGAACTTCTTTGCCATTTGATGTCGTTAACCCCACATGCACTGCCGAACGTTCTTCTTGAGTGTTGCTGGCATTCCTCGTGGATTGGTTCATGGACTGGCACACGGGATGCGAACTATTACAAATAATTTCCGGAACAGTTTCTTTCTGGTTGTTTAGCGGATTCCGTTCACCTTAAAGGCGGAAG